GCTTCCAGGAGGCCTCCGACAGGTTCAGAGGCTCCCGAGAAGCTACGTCAAACTCCCAGCGAGCGGCCGGACGAGGCCCCCCAAAAAATCCCAAGAGGGTTCCAGTATTTGTATCCTTCAGCGCTCTCTGGCCTTCTTCCCCCTGCCCCCTTCCCTGCGACTTTCGTTGACTCAAGCTCGCCTCCTCTCCATTTCCTCTCTCTGCCTCTCTCTCTCTCTGTCTTTTTTTTGTTTCTCTCTCTCTCTCTCTCTCCATCTCTCTTCTCTCTCTCTCTCTCTCTCCTTCGCTCTCTGTCTGTCTGTCTCTCTCTCCCTCTCTTTCTCTCTTTCTCTCTCTTCCTTTCACATTCTGTGTCCTTGCGACCTTCTGCAGTCCCCGACGTCGCCACGGCTGGATCCGCTCGAGCGTGTCTTGTGATGTGCGGCGGTGCGAAGCCCGTCCCACTGATCAAGGCACAGGTACGAAATGATGGGTCCATCATTTCTTGCCTTCCCATGTGCGTTTTCCCAATCGATTCCTGGGCCCGAGGTCGCAAAAATTACGACGTCGGAGGTCTGGGGAGGCGGGAAGCACGACCTGGACCTCCGACGTCTTGGAAAAATCACGACGGCGGTTTTTGTTAATTTTCGGCCTCCGGGGCCCCTCGCAGGTTCCCGGGACCGTCAGAAAACGACTCAGGATGAAAACGACTTGGGCTACAGGGCTATTGGGCTACAGGGCTATAGGGCTGTAGGGCTATAGGGCTATAGGGCTAGGGCCATAGGGCTATAGGGCTATGTGGGCTATTCGGCTATTGGGCTATAGGGTTGTTGGGCTGTAGAGCTATGGGGCTATAGGGCTACAGGGCTATAGGATCAGAGGGCTATAGAGCTAAAGGGCTAGATGGATATAGGGATATAGGGCTATTGGGCTATAGTCCTATAGGGCTATACGGCTATAGGGCAATAGGGCTACAGGGCTATAGGGCGATAGGGCACCCCCAGGCACCCCGGCACCCGGGCACCGGGCACCCAGGCACCCAGGCACCGGGCACCCGGGCACCCGGGCACCCGGGCACCCGGCCCGGCCGCATGGGGCCGGAATCTTGCCGAACCTCATCGAACCTTTTAATCCGCCAGGACCCTTACAGAGGCAAGCTCTGATTGGGTACTAACCCATGGCAACCGCCGCTACCTTCGTCGCCGCGATCGCCGCCGTCTTCATCGCCGCCGTCGTCGACGTCCTCGGGTTCTGTTCGGGCACCCTCTGGCCATCTCGTGGGGCACGCTGGGGGATTATCAGAGGCATCCGTAAGTATCCTGAGGGGCCCCGCGACTTCCCCCAGAGACTCTAACTACAGAAACTCCTTTCGTATTCCGGCCAGAAGCATCCAGAAACGATGTACATTAGCCCTGGCGGGGGGAATGATGGCGATGGTGATGTTCATGATGACGACGGTGACGATCCTAGCTAGAACCTAAGCGCGCGCGAAGCGCGCGCGTGGTTCTAGTACTGCTGTATTTGGGTACTTCGACGGCTCCGATGTCGACATGTATCTTGTTTTTTTCTGGTATTGAGAGGCCCGCTGGCCCCCGCCTCAGCCGCCGCGTGTTCGTCCGTCGGACGCGCGCGCCTCGCCTCGTACCCTCGTACCCTCCGCTCCTCTTCCTGATGAGTGAAGTCCTCCCTGTCGCACGCCCAGGCATGTCGGAAGGGCGGGCAGGGCGTTTCGCCTGAGACTGCCTTTCCATGCATGGCCCTGGAGCCTAGAAGCTGGCAGCAGCCTGACAGATAGAGGGCGGGCGGTTTTCAGAATGTCGATCTCGCCTTAGCGCCGCGCACATTCGTTCCGAACAGTGGCAATGGTCTCATGGAGAGCGGGCAGTTTTCAAAATGTGGTTCTCGCTTCAGCGCAGCGCATACTCGCTCTAAACCGTTGCAAGAGTTTGACGGATTCCCATGGTCTTTCGGAGCGATTTGCGGTTGTCAGGACGCAACAGTTACGTTGATTTGAGGTGTTGAATTCCCAGGAATGGTGTTCTGGCACGGTTCAGGATCGTCAAGACGCAACAGTCATGTTGACCCGTAGCGTCGAAGTCCTAAGAATGGTGCTTTGGCACGCTTCAAGATTTTCACACGGTCGTCTCACAACGGGGCATTTTTCTCAGCGGAAAGGAGTTTGTAGGGGCATACGAAGAGGGAGCTTGGAGGGATGGTGTATTTCAACATTAGTTGGTGAGTCTTGGGCTTACACTGGTCCTCCTCCTCCTCCTCCTCCTCCTGCCCCTCCCGCCCCTCCTGCGCCTCCTGTTTCTTTTCCGCAGTGGCAGATCTGCTGCCGGCCTCTCTTTAGCTGGCGTTGGAGGCGCCTGAGCGTGGAGCTCATCAAACATCCCACTATTCTCTCTCTCTCTCTCTCTTTTTTTGGGGGGGGGGGGGTTGTTTTTTTTTGTTGTCGTGTTTTTTCTCTTAAGCAACAAACTCTAAAAACAAATCCCATAATTCTCCCCGTGCCCTTGTGCCGGAGGGTCCCCGTCGCCTCCGCGGTCCGCCCTTGCGGGCGGCGGGCCTCATGACGGGGGCCGGGCTCGCTCCAGAGCGTTAGCGTCGCTGCTTACTCTGTCCCTCCCGATGCGGGCGGGCCAAGGGGACACCAACTCCCCCCGTGCCGGAGCCATCTCCGACGAGCGCTCCCCTTCTCCGCCCGCCCGCCCCTGCTGGAGCCGGGATCCGATCCTTGATACATCGCCTTGCGCAGCCATCCAGGTGCGCGTTGATGGCACGCTTTGCGACCATACCCGGGCAAGAGTCGTTTATACAGTCAACCCGCATAGTAAGGATGAGCAATTTTCCAAGGTGACCCTTGCATCCTTCCCCTTCGGCCCGTCCTTGGCCGCTTTCGCTGGCTGCGCCCCGCTCGCAACGTGTCGACATTGGCCTTCCAAAACCCTCGCATCCTTGTCGTGCGTCCTTATGACGCTGGTTGACTGTAGGCTCCCCTCCAGGTGTCAGCTCCCCCCCTCCGGGACATCGACCCTGGGGGACGCCCCTTGGGGGTCCTGGCCCAGGGCCTGTGCTTGGGCGGCCCCCCCCCTGCCGTGTGCCGACCTCCCGAAGGGGTGCGCAGCACAGCTCAGGAGGAAGAGGTCGCCCACAGACAGGAGTACACGTCGATTCCCAGGAACATGTGGGAAGGTGCGGAATGTGGAGGGGAAGGCGAAACTCCAGAGAACTTGGAGACATACGGAAATTCCTGGGACTCGTGCTTCTTTATTCGTGTGTCCCTGGCCCCCTCTCTAACAGCGTCTTGTCCAGAGGTGCTCATGAGCCTGGACCTGCCCAGCACGACCCATACGGCCATGCCCGCCCCCCTCCCCCCCGGCCCTCTCGCCCTCCGCCTGCCCTCTCTCTCGCCCGCGGAGGTGTGCCAACCACCCGGGGACGTGTTCACGTCCGTCATCGACGGGGACGGCGCTCCCTCCCCTAGCTGCCCTCGTTGAGGCGCAGCGCGTACCATGTTCAAGACGTCTGTGTTGCCACGCATGCGTGTTGACTCTGCACGTGCTGGTCCGCGCTTTGGCGAACGCCTCGCGCCAGGCCTGCGTCCTCGGTCTACGTGTGGGGCTCCGAGTCAGCACGCTGCGTGCTGCGTGTTGCGTGCCGGGGGCAGCTAGGCCCCCCCCCCGCCTCTCTCCGCCTGCCGCCCCCCCCCCCTCCCGAGCGCGGGCCTGCTGCCTGGGAGCGCTCGCCCCGGGGGCCCCCCAAAACGATGCGGTGGCCACGCCGCGGGGTGGGTCGGCGGGGAGGCGGGCTGGCCGGATGGCTTTGGGCTGGGGCCGTTCTCCAAGGGCGTCTCGGGCGACTGGGGCCTCCAGGGTCCCAGCACCGTGCGGTGGCGCACCGTGCGGTGAGGTCTGTAGGGGCTCCGAGGCTACCGCGCGGAGTCTGTCACCGCACCGTTTGGGGACCCCCCACTTGTTCGGGGGGTTGCCAAGGGGTGTCTCTGGCCCAAGGGGCCCCCAGCTCCGTCTTGCTCCCTTCCCCTTCCCCTTGGGGCCTTTCCGGCCTCGTGGCAGGGTGCTTTGAAGGCCGTGGGCTTGGACAGCCTGGAGACACCTTCGGCCAGGTGCCCAGAGATCCGCTGCCGTGACATTTGAGTATCGGGTCACCAGATGTCCCGACCCTTTCCTTGCGGCTGGCTTTCCATCCTGCGTTGTTTTTGGGCGGCCCCGGGGCCCAGCGAAGGCCCCCAGAGGCCCAAAACGACGAGACTTCCCACTTGGATTTCTCAAAACGTCGGACGTCTGGGGCTGGTGACACTTCCGGTGGCACCAGACGTGATGGGATTGTTTTCCACCACCACCACCATAAGCTGGATGGGGAGGAGGTCCTCTTCCCCCCTCCTCCTCCTCCTCCTCCTCCTCCTCCTCCTCCTCCTCCTCCTCCTCTTCGTCCTCCTCCTCCTCCTCCTCCTCCTCCTTCTCCTTCCCCCCATCCAACTTCTGGTGGTGGTGGTGGTGGACAACAGGCCCGTCAAGACTCGTGGGCGTGTGGGCGTCGCGTGCAGTCCAGGTCGTTCCTCCCCTCCTGCGCGCGGCCGCCGACCGCTCCGGGGTCGGCGGGCCGACCCACCCCCGCGGGCCGCCCTGCCGCTGCCTGGCCCGACGCCTCGCGCCCGCGTGCTCGCCGCGAGCGACGAGCCCAGATCTCCCGCGGAGGATATATTCTGAACATGAGGGCGGCCAGGATTGTTCATTGTTGGAGACTTTTAGAACTATCATGAAGCGTTCCCGATACACAAACCGGATAGAGCATATGCGAATGTTACGACACCTTTAGATTGCAAAAATACTACATACCTTGCAAGTAGCATTGCCACAGAAAACGTTGAGAATGTTAATTGGATGGTGCTATTATATCCAAGTTTAATTCTGTTACAGCATAACGATGGTTTCGATGCTTTGCTCGATCCAGGTCTTGGCACCGCTCGGACGTGTGCTTTTTTCCTCGGCGAGGACCATCGAGGATCATCGAGCGACAGAAAACACGCACGGAGCCGAGCAAAAACACTGGGAATGGACGTCCGAGCGATTGCGAGGGGCGTTCTTCTCAGATCTTGGCTTCCGGGGCCCGTCATCGGGCCCTGGTGCCTTGAGGAAGTGCTCCGAGAGATCCGGGGGCGCAGGCTGACAACCTCAGATCGGCAGACGTCGGGGAACGGGACTCTGCTGGAGGGGGGGTCTCAGAGCGCTCCCTTGGCGCACACAGCTGGGCGGGCGGGGCGGGCGGGCGGGAGCGGGACTTGTTACACAGCTCTGGGTGGCTGCCTTGCAGGGGGGCCTTAACTCTGGACACGGCGCGTCTGCGGCCCCGATGCAGTCTAGGAGGTAGGGGCCATTTTGGGTTCGGGAGTCGCCACCCACCAAACCACCCCAACCCAACCCGAAGGCCTCAATTTGCCCTCCATTTCCAGTGGAGGGTTGGGGAACATTGGGAAAACACATATGGAACCCGTATCCCCCCAACCCGAAACTTGGGTCTTCGGGTTAGGTTGGTGTGGTCTGGTAGGTAGTCAGTCGAGGAGGTATGGACCGTTTTGGGCTCGGGAGGGGCTGTGGCTTTTGCGCCGTTCCTCGGATCTGGGCTGGGGCACCTCTTCGTGGCAGAGGCTGGCCATGGCCAGAAAGACACCCCTACGCTTCTGATGATCTGGCGCTCGTCATGGCAGCACCAGGACTGTACCTGGTCAAAACGCTTACGCCAGCCCGCCGACCCCCCCCAAACGAGAAGGGGTGCGGCTGCCTCCGTCGTGGCCGGCCGCGCCACGCGCTCCGGGTGTGACCCGTTCCCCTGATCGGCCCTCGCTCCCTGTCCCCTCCTTCGGCCGCCCTTCCCGCCTTCCTCCGTTGTCCCGCACTGTGAAACAGTTCGCTTCCACGGTCTCTCCGTCTTGCTCGCTCTTCCGTCAGCGCAGTTGCTCTGCCCAGCCGCCGGCGCAACGCAAGGTGTTGTTAGCCACTTCCTGTCGTGATGGCTGCCTGCATCGTGCCCGACGAAAGGGGGGGATAGGGAAAGGGGGGGGGTACGAAACCTGCCGCATGCAGCTGGTTTCGGCCCCGCCGCCAGGCCCATTCCTCGATGCATGGCCGCCTCCAGCGCCGGGAGGCGCCAGAGAAACCATCTGCGCGAGCTGATTTCCCCCCCCCCCCCCCCCCCTTTGCTATCCCCCCTTCCGCCCAGCCCGACCCCAGCTGTTGCTGCTTGTTTTTTTCCTCTCTCTTTGGAGGCCTGGAAATAGGCACCAACACCAAGACAGGGGGCTGCCTCCACAGGGGAGAGATGATCCTAGATTTCGGCGTTGGTGGTAATATTTCGGTCACCTTGGAAGCCAGAATATTGCCACCATCACCGAGATCGGGATCTTCTTTCCTCGGTGGAGGAACACCGCCGATATTGGTGTTGGTGTCAACCTCGAGGCCTGCGATCTCTCTCTCGCTCTCTCTCTCTCTCTCTCTCTCTCTCTTCGCTTGACGTCTGCTGCGCGGGCCTTTGTTGCTGCCTCTCTTGGGCTGCCTCGGGGGCGGCCTCTCTCGTGGGAGCCTCGGCGGGGCTCCCGATTCGGTGCTTCTGGGGCCCCTTCTGTTGGCTTCTTGGGGCCTGCTCCTCCTCGTCCTCCTCGTCCTCCTCCTCCTCGTCCTCGTCCTCCTCGTCCTCCTCCTCGTCCTCCTCCTCCTCCTCCTCCTCCTCCTTCTCCCACATCCCCCATCACCCCCTCCTCCTCCTCCTCCTCCTCTTCCTCCTCCTCCTGCTCCTCCTCCTCCTCCTCATCCTCGTCTTCCTCCTCCTGAGGCAGGTTGGGGGAGCCTGGGCCAGCCATCATGTGGGTTGGGGGAACCTGGGTTTCTTGCGAGCTCCCTCTTCTGGGTCTCTTCTAAGGAGCCTTCTTGATGGCCTCTTTGGCTGTCCCTGGACACTCTTGGGGGCCTTTTGGGCCGTGATGGCCCAATCTAGGGGGGGGGGCCCGCGAAACACTTAGAGCTTGAAGAAGCCCGGAAAGGCGAGAGATCGAACAATCAAAATACACACATGTATGTGTGTGTGTGTGTGTGTTTGTGTGTGTGTATGCCGGTCGGTCCCCGTCTGCCCCCCTGGTCTGACCCCGCCACCCTCCACGCCTGGATGACTTATTGCCGGCTACTGGCGCTTCTTGTTCCAAGCTGCATGAAGGCTCGGCCTACGCGCCTGCGCGCCCGCTTCTTTGACCTTTTTTACGCCCTGTCGCTGTGCGTGGGGCCGCGACGCCAAAAGTGTGTGTGTGTGTGTGTGTGTGTTTGTTTGTGTGTGTGTGTGTGCGTGTGTGTGTGTGTGTGTGTGTGTTGCACGTGGCGCAGGCCACTCGCCCCGCCATGCGGACTGTGCGAAGTGCCGGTGCGCTCGCTCGCCGGCGAGCTGGCTCCACGCAGCTCTGCCCCCTCCCCTCGGCCTCGCCCGTTGGGCGCCGCCCGCCGCGGCCTGCTCTGGCCGGCTCCCATCCGCTGCCGGCCCCCTGCTGGCGCCCCCCGCTCCTGCCCGCCTCCGCGCTGCCCCGCCCCGTCACTGCCCCGTGAGGGGCCGGCGCCTTCCCCCAGGGCGTTCCACCAGGGAGGGGGAAGAGGAGGAGGAGGAGGAGGAGAAGGAGGAGGAGAAGGAAAACATAATAGGATTCATCGTAGTAATAATAGTCATAAGAATAAGAATGATGATACGAAGAAGGAGAGGAGAAAGAAGAGGAGGTCGCCTGCCAACGCCCAGGGCGTCCCTGGGTACCTCTCGCAGCTCAGCCCAGCATCCGTGCGCTCCGCCGGGCGTGCCTTCCGAACGTGCGAGCGTCTTTTCGGTCCCCCTCGCGTGGGACCGAAAAGAGCGTGTGTGTGTGTATCTGAGAGAGGGAGAGAGAGTGTGTGTGTGCGTGTGTGTAGAGTGCGTGTGTGTGTGCGTGTGTGTAGAGTGCGTGTGTGTGTGTGTGCGTGTGTGTGTGTGTGTGTGTGTGTGTGTGTGTGTGTGTGTGTGTATGTGTCTGTCTGTGTGTGTGTGTGTGTGTGTGTGTCTGTGTGTGTGTGCATGTGCGTGTGCGTGTGCGTGCGTGCGTGCGTGCGTGCATGCGTGTGTGTGTGTGTGTGTGTCTGTGTGTGTGTGTGTCTGTGTGTGTGTGTGTGTGCGCGCGCGTGCGCGCGTGCGCGCGTGCGTGCGTGCGTGCGTGCGTGCGTGCGCGTGTGCGGGCGCGCGCGCGCGTGTGTGTGTGTGTGTGTGTGTGCGTGTGTGTGTGAGTGTGTGTGTGTGTGTGTGCTAGCTTGGCTCTTGAGCGCCTTGTCCTTGTGCTTGCTTGCCTCTTGTGGCGTTTTGAGCCTCGTGATGCCTCTTGGGGGACATCTCTATCGGAGGCCGCGGGTTGTGGCTTTCGAGGCTCCGAGGGCCCCAGGGGGGCGCGCTGGGGAGCTCGTGCGCCCCCGCCGCCGCCCGTACGGGGGGACACCTCCGCTTTGCACGAGATTTTGGGCCCGGGGAAATCGAGCATTTTCTTTGGGTGGAGGGCAAAGGGTGAAATCTGAAATGCCGTTTCGATGGGTGTTCGAGGCTTGAATCTGCAAAATGTGACTCACAATACGGATTGAGCCTATCTAGACTTCACCCTGAGCCCTTCACCCCAAGAAAATGCTCAGGGAAAGGGGAGGGGGGGACAGCCAAATGTTTCACACGCCCTATCACCCCGGCAATCGGGGGTCGGAGGATGCCCATCCCCTCGCAATCTGAATGCCGGGGCGCGATCCCGTAGACGACGCCCCGCGCGGGTGCACCCGCGCAACGCCGCCCTGCATGCGCGAGGCCGTAGTCGAGAAGGCCGGGCTTGTGAGGTCGTGGTCCCTGCTCGGAGGCCTCCAGCGGAGGCCTCCTCCTGGGACAAACAGGTTCACCTTCTGCGGCTGCAATATCACAGGCGTCGCGAGGAACGCTCACGGGCGAGCTGAAGCGCGGGAAAGGGCCCATAGCGCAAAATGCGGGTCATTCCGTCGATGCAGCAGTCTCTGCTGGCACCGACCCGATGCTCTCCTGCCCGCGAGCGGAGCACGCGAGCTGCACAGAGCAGCGGCCCCGCACCTGCCGCCGCCCCAACGGCTGCACGGCCTGGCCCAAGGGCCCGACCGCCACGCCGGGGACCAGGCCGCGCACTCTGCCGCACAGGCCAGGCGAGTTCGGGCCCGAAGCCCATCCCCACAGCGCGCCGTCTCGTTGCTTGTGGGGCTCACCCACATGATGGTGCTCGCACTTCGGGGCTCTTGCCTGCTCTCCCTGCGGGCGCTGCCGCGCCGCCACGCGGCGCCACGCTGCCAGGTCTGGCGCCCGTTGCCGCCCGTGGGCGCTCGTGTGCGGCGCCCCGTGCTGTTGGGGGGGGGGGGGGGGGGGGGGGCGAGGTTGCGCCACGTTGCCGCCCGTGCCGCCTCGTGGCTGCTCGTGGGCGCCCCGCGCGCTGGGGCGGGCGGGGGGGGGGGTTGCCGAGGTTGCGCCACGTCGCCGCCCGTGGGCGCCTCGTGGGCGCTCGTGGGCGCCCCGTGCGCTGCGGGGGTTCGCCGAGGTTGCGCCACGTCGCCGCCCGTGGGCGCCTCGTGGGCGCCTCGTGGGCGCCCCGTAAGGTCGCGCCGCGTTGCCGCTTGTGCCGCCCCGCGGGCGCTCGTGGGCTCCCCCTGCGGTGTGGGGGGGGGGGGCTGCCGGGACTGCGCCACGCTGCCGCCCGTGCCACCTCCTGGGCGCTCGTTGGCTCCCCGCGCGCTGGGCGTACACCGCATAGCTCACGTCCACGACTGCACCGCGTAGTTTGCACAACGTAGCGTGCACCACATGGGTCAGACCCCATAGCTTACACCTCAAGCTCACGCCTCGTAGCTGATTCGTCACATAGTACGCACCACAGCTGTTACACTGTACAGCTTGCACGACATAGATTGCACCGCATATCTTGCACCGCGTAGCTGTCACTTTCACAGTGCAGTAACTCACTGTTTGGGGTCCACGCTGGCTACCATATCCTTTGCTTTCTACCAACGTGATCTCCCAGAGGTTTGGATCGTTTCCTTGGGCTCGATGTTTCATCCCGAGTCGTTTCCAGACGCCCCCAATGGTTTGGTGCGGGCCCCGCAGGCTGAAAGTGGGCAACATTTTTCATGTGAAATTGTCACCGATATTGGGACCCCCGATCCCCCACTGGCGGGATTGTCGCCCAACAAGGTTTGCCGAGCTCGGGGACAAACCATCGGGGGGGCGCCAGTCCTCGGCAGGAGTGCGGCCGAACAGCCTGATCTTGGGGGTGCACCCTTGTTTTTTATTTCTTTTCTGAGCGGCCCGCTGTTCTGTGCGGAAGAGCTCGGGGGTTGATGGGCCGATTGCCGACCACCACTACCATAGGTAGGAGAGGGAGGAGGAGGAGCAGGAGGAGGAGAAGGATGAGAAGGACGAGGAGGAGGAGGAGCAGGAGAAGGAGGAGGAGGAGGAGGAGGAGGAGGAGGAGGAGGAGGAGGAGGCGGAGGACCTCCCCACCCTCTCTTCTCCCCCGTCCTACCTGTGGTAGTGGTGGAGGAACACTTGCCCATTAGGGGTAGATGGCGAAAGATCGCCCGCCACGGGATCTCCGTTCCCTCTGGGCCCGCTGCGGGGCGGCCAGGGCAGCACGCGCCGGGGCGGCCCGGGGTTCAGCGCCTGGGCACGGATTCCGCAAGGCAGGGGGGTTCAGGGAGGTCTTGGGTCCAGTGAGGCTTCCGCGAAGGTATAATTTCTCTTGGATTCAAATCATTGGTTTTTGGAGTGCAGCGCATTTTTTGAATTCAAACGTTGGGTTTTCGAATTCAGGACACAAGGGTTTTTGGAATAAAAAGGCAGGTTTTTTGAATAGAAGAGATTTTGAATCCAAATAACCAGTCTTGGCCGCAGCAGAAGCCAAGCGGCTCGGAGCACTGCGCTGCACATGGATGGAAGCGGGGAGGTGGGGTTCGTCACTCTCGCCGGGACCCGGGTCCTCGCTTTTCCAGCTCCGAGAGGTGCTCGATTGGCGAGGGGACGGGGGTATCGCACAATATGGAGCGGCTGGGGAGGCCTGCCAGTTGGGCAGGGACACAGGAGGAGGGAGGCGGAGGAGGAGGAGGAGAGGAGGAGGAGGAGGAGGAGGAGGAGGAGGAGGAGGAGAGGCGGAGGAGGAGGAGAGGAGGAGGAGGAGGAGGAGGAGGGAGGAGGAGGAGGAGGAGGAGGAGGAGGAGGAGGAGGAGGAGGAGGAGGAGGAGGAGAGAGGAGGTCCAAGATCGCCGTTCCCTTGGCCCTCCGCTGGAGGAGGACGACCTCCGCCTCCCGCCGCCGCCGTCGTCACCAGCGTCGCCCTCGCCGCCGCCGCCTTCTTCCATCGTGGTCGTCGTCGTCGTCGTCGTCGTCGCCGTCGCCGTCGCCGTCGCCGTCGCCGTCGCCGTCGCCGTCGCCGTCGCCGTCGCCGTCGCCGCCGCCGCCGCCGCCCTCGTCGCGTCGTCTGGGCCGTCGGCGTCGCCCTGGGAAGCCGCCGTCGCCCGCAGGACCTCGGGAAGGTGGAGTGGAGCCTCAGCTCGGCGGCCAGCGGCTGCACGGAGAAGACGGCCCCTCCCCCCCCCCCACGGCGAGGAGGGGAGGCGCAGAGGGGTGAGGGGAGGGGGAGGAGGACGGGCGGGGGAGGTTTCCTGGCGTTCGTTGCGTGCTTCCCTGCTCCCCGAGGCCCCCCAGAGGTCTCTCTGGGCCACTCCCCTGGGGAGGTGCAGAAGCGCTCTTTGACCACCAGCCCCTCTTTCCCACCTAGGCTTGATTTCGCTACCGCCTTTCCCTCCAAGTTTTCCTCCGCCCTGAAGGGCGCAAGAGGGTCCTCCTGAGGGCGAAGGAGGACGAGGAGGAGATCGATGACGGGGGCGACGCTGGCGACGCTGACGACGCCGCTGACGGCGGCGGCGGCGGACATTGTGGCCAGGCGCGTCGGCGCAACCTCCTCCTCATCCTCCTCCTCCTCCACAAGTGCTCAATATGAATACTACTCTCCCTCTTCCCCTGATGACGTCTTTTGCGTATTCGCCCCCCCCCCCCCGCGTATTGTTTTTTTACACACACGATTCCCCGGAGTTGGGTTTTCGCCTGCGTTTTTTTCAAAATGCTGCTCTCGCTGAGGCGCCGGCCTCATTTCTGCTCCCGAATCGTTCCGAATCGTGCTCCCGCTGCAGCGTGGGCCTCATTTTCGGATCGGTGTTTTGCCTCCGTCGTTCAGGATGGCGTTCTCGCCCCAGCGCGGGCCTCTTTCTCGCGCGCCCATCCGCCCGCCACCACCGCGCCGCACCACGCCCCGCCCCGCCGCACGCACACCCACCGCCACTTCCACCCACCAACGCACGCACGCACGCACGCGCACCACCACCGCGCACCGCCACCACCACCACACTACCCCACCCACCACCACCACGCTACACCGCGTCACACCACATCACACGCGCGCACACACAGACACACACACGCACGCACGCACACACACACACACACGCACACACACACACGCACACACAGACACACACACACACACCACCGCCGCCACCACCATCACCGCCATCACGCACGTACGCACCTGGCCCACCAAACCACCAAGACGCCACACCACGTCACACCACAGCACACGCGCACACACGCACACACACACACACACACATACACACCACCACCACAACAACCACAACCACGCACACACGCACGCACGCACGCGCACCACCACCCACTACGCACACGCGCGCGGAGCCACAGGTCCGCTACGACACGCGTCCGCGGATAGAGAAAATCAGCGCCATGGTAAGGGATGGGAGGGAGGGGTAGGATGTCAGATGTTGACGCGAGCGCACCTAACTTGTCCTCCTCCCCCTCCCCTCCCCCTCCCCTCCCCTCCCCCTCCCCCTCCCCCTCCCCCTCCCCTCCCCCTCCTCCTCCTCCTCCTCCTCCTCCTCCTCCTTGGCTTCCCGGTCAACGTTTTCCGCGCCATGCCCGAGGCCTCCCCGAGGCTGTCGGGGGCGGGGTCTTCCCTTCGACGGCAGGGCCGTGGGCCGACCTGTAGCTGTTAATAGGCCGTCGTGTGCGCGACTCGCCTAGGCAGTGTCCCCCGCTCAGGCTTCGAGCGTGGCGCGCGATCGTTATCGCTGCGACACAAAGTTCAGGAGGGGAAGAAACGCACAGACACAATTAATCGTCGACTCCCAAGAAAATATGGGGAAATATGGGAAGTGGTGGGGAAGGCAGAAACCCAGAAAATATATGAAAATATGGGGGATTTTTTCTGTGTGTATTTATTTGTGTGTCCCAGGGCCCCTTCAAAAGTGTTCGAGGCAGGGTGGGGCATGGGACGTGCGGGCTGTGGATTTTCTTGCGAAGCCCGCCTCGGGCGCGAGATCGAGGGCTGGAGGGAGGGAGGTGAAGGGGGGTAAGGGGATGTGAGCGTGTGCTCGCTCGCTGCCGAGGCACGTGGATCCTTGGTTCGCACCAGGGACATTCACGACTGGTCGAGCTAGCTACACCCTCAGAGCGACTCCGCGAGCTGCCCCCCTGCAGCCGCACAGCGTGCAGAACAGGCCCTGCCGTCGGCGCCACATCGCCTTCGCGGCGAGAAGGGCGGGCGGCAGACGGGCGGAGGGCGGCGGAAGCAGCAGGAGGCCCAGGGGGGGCCCGCTGGCGGAGGAGGCCGTTGGCAGGAAGCTCGGCACGGTGCGCTGTGGGGACCCGGGCCTGCCAGAGCAGTCCTTTCCTTTCCCCCCCGCAGCTATCGGCTGTGGACAGGAGTGATGGGGGCGGAGGCCGTGGGCGGGCCGCGCGAGCTGGGAAGCGCGATGACGTTCCCGAACGCCAGCGTGTGGCATGCCGCCGCAAGCGCCGGCTGCCTCGCTTCAAAGCAGTGCGGTCGTGTCGCGGGCGCTGTCGGGTCGCAAGTGGGCCGCGGGCTGGGCCGCGGGTGGGTCGCGGGCGGGGTCGCGGGTGGGTCGCGGACCGGGTCGCGGTTGGGTCGCAGGCTGGGCCGCAGTTGGCTCGCGGGCCAGGGTGAGGGTGGTTCGTGGGCAAGGACGGCACGGGCAACAATGATAGTAACAATGACAATGCGTGTTGCGGTTGCCTCACTGCAGCCATGCACCCATGGACAGCGCAAAACCGTCCAGCCCCCTCACTCTGAAACGATCGGGAATGTTAGCTTAGCGTGTCGCGCCGCTGGTTCTGGCCAGCCACGCTTCGGCGCGACAGCGTCAACGTCCCGAGCCTTTGCCATCCCCCCATCAGCTCTCAGGGCACAGCGTGTCGCGGGAGCCGCCGCAGTGAATTGCTATTCAACAGCTTCCTGGCCGGATCCTCTGGACTAGACGCTGGATGAGGGGCATCGCGGGGCCTCACTTCAGGCACGCACCCAGTTCCAGTGCAAAACCGTCGGGCCCCCCCACTCTGATGTTCGGAGGCCTGGAAATTGGCACCAACACCAGCAAGGGGGGTTTGCCTCCACATGGGGGAAGCTGATCGTAGATTTCGGTGTTGGTGGTAATATGTCGGTCATCCTGGAAGCCAGAACATTACCACCATCACCGAGATCGGGATCGTCTTCCTCGGTGGAGGCACACCGCCGATATCGGTGTTGGTGTCAACCTCTAGGCCTGCGAGATGTCCTCCGGCCGAGGCGCTGGACAAGGTGAGTTTCCCGGCAGGCAGGGCCCGAGTGCGTTCGCAGGTTCCAGGCCCGATCCCGTGCGGAAGGCGGTGCCGGATTTGTTTCGGGCCCGTGGTCGGCGAGGCACAGTGTTGGTGGGGGTCCTGCTGGAAGGGGCTCAGGGGTGCCGAGCACTTCCAGACACTCTGCTTCCAGGCAAGCAAGGTCACTTGCAGTCGTCATGCTTCTCTTGTCGTTGGCCGTTTCGACTGGCAATTTGGGGAGTTTTTTAAGGAGGGGGGGGAGGCACGCGAGGCTATCCGTGGCCCACGCTGGCCCGCTGGGGCGGCCCACTGGTGCTGGCCCTCCCTTGCGAGGGAACATCGGCACGACCATAATTTTTCGGAGGTCGGCGGAGGAAGGGGAGGAGGAGGGGAGTGAGGAGGAGGAGGAGGAGGAGGAGGAGGAGGAGGAGGAGGAGGAGGGGAGGAGGAGGAGGAGGAGGAGGAGGAGGAGGAGGAGGAGGAGGAGGAGGAGGGGGAGGAGGAGGAGGAGGAGGAGGAGGGAGGAGGAGGAGGAAGGAGGAGGAGGAGGAGGAGGAGGAGGAGGAGGAGGAGGAGGAGGAGGAGGAGGAGGAGGAGGAGGAGGGAGGAGGAGTTGGAGGAGGACCAGTGTAAACCCAAGAGTCACCAACGCTGTTGGAGTAAACCTTCCCCCCAAGCTCCCTCTTCATAGGCCCCTACAACGGTTCATTTCCACAGCGGGACCTGCCTCGTCGGAACAACAGATGGAAGACCCTGAAGCATACCAAAACATTCTTCTCGGTATTCCAACGCCACGCATGAACCTGACTATTGCGTCTTGACGATCCCGAATCGTGCCAGAACGCCATTCCTGGGACCTCAACTCCGCGAATCATCGTGACTGTTGCGCCCTCAAATCGTAGATCGTTTTACACTTGTTTAAATAAGAATGTGCGCGGCGCTAAGGCGAGAGCCACATTCTGAAAAGGAACCGTCCTCAATCCGTGAAGCTCTTACACATGTTTAACAAGAATGTGCGCGGCGCTGAGGCGAGCGCCACAGTTTGAAAACGACCCGCCCTCAAGCCGTGAAACTCTTGCAACGTTTGAAAACGAATATGCTTGGTGCTAAGGCGAGAGCCACATTTTGAATACCACCCGCCCTCAATCCGTGAGACTCTTACGAATGTTTAACAAGAGTGTGCGCGGCGCTAGGGAGAGAGCCACATTTTGAAAACGACCCGCCCTCATTCCGTGAAACTCTTGCAACTGTTTAACCAGAATGTGCGCGGTGCTAAGGCGAGAGCCACATTTTGAACAGGAGCCGCCCTCAATCCGTGAAATTCCTGCAACTGTTTAGCAATAGTTTGCGCAACGCTAGGGCGAGAGCCACATTTTGAAAACGACCCGACCCCAATCCGTGAAACTCTTGCAAGTTTTGGAAACGAATGTGCGCGGCGCTAAGGCGAGAGCCACATTTTGAAAGCTACCCGCCTTCCATATGTGAAATTGTTGCCAATCCTTAAGCTTCAGGGTCATACATGGTGCGGAAGTCTCTGGCGAAACGCCCGACCAGCTCTAAAACCTGGCTTCGGGGTTCGACAGGGAGAACTTATGTATAAGAAGAAGGAATGGAGGGATGAGGATGAGAAGGAGGAGGAGCAGGACGAGGAGGAGGAGGAGGAGGAGGAGGAGGAGGAGGAGGAGGGAGGAGGAGGAGGAGGAGGAGGAGGAGGAGGAGGAGGAGGAGGAGGAGGAGGAGGAGGAGGAGGAGAAGGAGGAGGAGGAGGGAGGAGGAGGAGGAGGAGGAGGAGCATCAGGAAGAGCTTCCGATCCGCCTCCCGCACCCTCCCTGCCACACCACGGCCGCCAGGCCCCCAAAGGATCCAGGTGCTCCAGAGGGGTATCCCGCCCCGCGTGTTCGGCGAGCGTCGCGGCTGCTTGCCGCGGCCGCCAGGCCCCCAAGTGGCCCGGGGTGTTTCTCGGGGGATCCCCTCTCGCGCTCTCGCCTTGCTACCCCCCTTTTCCCCCTTCGCCAAGACCGAGTCCGAGCTCCAAGCATCGAAACATCCGGATCTTTCCTTCGCACTGTTATAAGACCTCATCGTCTCCTCTGTCTCCCCCTCCCCCTCGTCCTTCATGCTTGCCGGGACCCTCCCCCGCGCGGAGCAGGATAATACTACCTTTGCGATTGGCAGTGGTTGATGCAGTGTGTTTACACAACCAAGGGTCAGCGTTTGCTTTCGACGTTATCGCTGCAGACAGAGCCGTGTCGGAAACTCGGGGGCTACTCCGCCAGATGCGGGCTATGCCCCGCAAGAGAAATTAGGAACCTGAGCAGTAGGAATGCAGTCATATAACATGTGTCATAGCTCGAACAGTGGCGCGCGGAAACACGCAGACACATTATGCGGCGTGTGTCGCGTTGGGCCCCCCTCGGGCTGGGCGCCTCTGGCGCCGCCTCTGGCGCGCTCCAAGTGTCAAGCATGAGGGTTCTGGCGCCGATGTACGAGACCCTCGCGGTCATCGGACAAAGTGTGTGTGTGTGTGTGTGTGTGTCTGTTTGTGTTTGTGTGTGTGTGTGTTTGGGGGTGGGTGGGTGCGTGGGTGCGTGCGTGCGTGCGTGCGTGTGTGTGTGTGTGTGTGTGTGTGTGTGTGTGTGTGTGTGTGTGCGTGCGTGTGTGTGTGTGTGTGTGTGTGTGTGTGTGTGCTCGTTTGTGTTTGTGCATGTTTTTTTGTTGTGTGTGTGTGTGTTTGAGGAAAGAAACAACATAACAATTGCCACGGTGGCGCGGGATTTTGTCGACGCCGACCTTGGTCACGACCATTTTGGCCGTCGCTGACTCGCGGGGGTGATTCACGAACTGACGATGGCCAAGATGGAGGGTGGCCAAGACCGACAACTACGTTTCCGCGTTCAGTCTTGGTCATGATCATCGCTTCCCTTGCCTCCATGTATGGCGCGTCGTGTTGTTCTACGGTCAGGAACTTTGGCTCAGCGTGCCGCTCCGCCAGATTTGGCCCACCACGCTCCGGCGCGACACGCCAACCACGTCCCAGTTGCCAAGCGTCAGCGTCACGACCTTCCCCGCGGAGCGGAGCGACGCGCTATCCGCTCACAGGCCACAGCGTGTCGCAAGGGGCCGCCGCCGTGTCACAGTGCCCGAGCGTGGCTCCCGCGGGGCAGCCGCCCTGGGCGGCGGCGCGCCAGGTCTGCGCCAAGACCAGGCAGACGGCGCTGCACGTGGCGGCGGAGAACGGGCAGCTGGATCCATCTCCTCCCCTCCGACCCCCCGACCCCGGCCGCGCGTGGCCCACGGCGGGCCGCCTCTCGCGCCCCTCGTCTCTCATTCGCGGCCTCCTCCCGTCCTGTGAGCCCTGGGGGCCTCTGGGATGGCCGCGCATCCTCTGGCGGGCTACTGGCCGAAAGCTCTGCTAAGAGTTGCAGATCAAAGGTGTTTCAGCCACTTTGCTGTTCGTGTAATTCCATGCTTCAAGCCAAACCGCGGAGCCGCCCCTCGAGCGACGTTTGGTCTCGGCTGCGCGCGCGAGGGAGGGGCGGCCGAAATGCAGAGCGCTCGTCCGTGCAGGGACAAGATGGGACTCCGAAGTGGCTCTTCTTTCAGCGTCTTGACCGTGGAGGGGAGGAGGACGAGGATAAGGCGGAGGACGAGGAGGAGGACGAGGAGGAGGAGGAGGAACCCACGCCACTGAGAGGCGCAAGGGGAGGAGGAGGAGGAGGAGGAGGAGGAGGAGGACGAGGAGGAGGAGGAGCCCCTCCTCCCCGCTCTCGCCGTGGTGTTCTGCGGACGCGTCCCGCCCGCGGGCCCCAATTATACAACTTCCTGGGCCCACGTTCGGTTGCTTCGGCCCCTCCCCTCCATTCGCTTGGCATCGCTCGGACGTGTGCATTTTTCCTTCGGCGAGGACCATCGAGGAGCATCCTTGATCATTTGGCGAAAAAGCCACGCACGAAACCGAAAAAGGCACACGGAATGGACGTCCGAGCGATGGCCAGTTCGGCGGCACGCCCAAGGGGTGAGTCGGGCGGGCTCAGGCTGACGACGCTCGGTCGTGCTCGCTCGTCACTGTGCGTGCGCAGACTGCCAGCGAAATGCGCGCACATGCCAAAACGACTTGGGAGGCGGCTGAGGGATCCTCCGGCCACAGAGTGGTCTTCAAATGTCAGGAAGCGATCTCCCAGGGGGAGAGGCAGAGTGGGCGGGCCTACTCAAAAGCTCAGAAGGCCTCTGGCCTATTGAAAAGCTTTCCAAACGGGGGGCTTCTGAGAAGCTTCTCCAAACGCTGGAAGGCTTCTGAGAAGCCCCGCCGCCTTCTGAGCTGAGAAGGCCTGCCCCCTCCCACTGCTCCCCTCGGCGCGCCGCCAATTCATGGGCGGGTGGACTGTCCGACACCGTGTGAGCTTTCTGTTCCAGTGATCGGAGGAGCCGACGTTGCGGTTCTCCAGTCCTGGCGGCGCGCACAGGGGCGGGGTAGGCACGTGAGGCGTGTCCTCCAAATCTGGCGGAGGGCTTCATGGAAGGCAGGGGTCTTCTTAGAATGTCGCAGAAGTTTCCAAGAACCTTTTTCGAAGCTGGGATGGGGCTTCATCTAGAAGGCAGAGGTCTTCTTGTGATGTCCCAGAAGTTTTCAAGAAGCCTTCCTCGAAGTTAGGATGGGGCTTCACAGAAGGCAGGGCCTTCTTAGAATGTCCCAGAAGTTTCCAAGACACCCTCTTCGAAGCCAGGATGGACGTCTTTAAAAAGGCCTCTGCCTTCCAACTTCTCCCGACTTTTTGTCAAACGACCACCCCCCTTCGCGCCATCCCCTGTGTTGTGCGCGCCGCGAATTTTTCTTCTCGGTCGAGCCCCCCGGAGCCACGCCGAGAATGGCCCCTTCCTTTCTCTGGCCCGGTCAGGGTATCCCTTCCCGAAGAAGAGACAAGCGGCAGAAGCTTACATTTTCGGCGCTCCGCTCGGATTTCTTGGATCTGCGCTGGCCCCTCCCTGGCGGCGCCTCCTGCGCCGCCCCTGCCGCTCTCCGCGCGCCAGAGAGGGGGGTCCAGCGCAGATCCAAGAAATCCGCGCGGAGCGCCGGAAGTTCATGCTTTTGTTATTTGCTGCTCCTCGGCTATGAAAGACCACCTCCCTTGCGCCACCTCTTTCCAAGAAGTCCGCACGGAGCGCCGGAAGTTTATGCTCATGCCGTGTTTTGGTGCCTCTGCCTTCTCCTCAGCGTTTGGGGCCGGCGGGCGTGCCCGAGCAGAGCAGGCGAGCCGCACACCGAGGGGCGGAGCGGCAAGTGGGGAGATCAGCTCTCCCGTTTTTGTTGTTGGCGTGTGTGTGTGTGTACATCGCCAAAGCTGTCACTCTGCTGAGCCGCCGACGCAAAAAGTGTGTGTGTGTGTACTCTGGATTTCTTAGTAAGCGTGGGGGGGTATCCCCCCGACGGGTGTCGACCTCGCCTTGTCGTCGCGCCGCGACGGGGGTTGGAGCGCCTTCGGCGCGCGGTGGGTGCCCGAGACGGGGGTTGATGTGGGGCTGTCGGCGGGGGTGACGCCCCCCGATGCATATCAAGAAACTCGGAGTAATATGTGTGTACGTTCCCCAAGCAGCGCGTGCACTTAGGAGATCTTATTTCTGTTCGAAGGAACTGGGCCGTGTCTTCGGTCGGGCGGCTATGTGGCCGCCGTCGCCGCCACGTCGCGGCCTCGTCGCCGCCCGTCGTCTGGGCCGTGTCTTCGGCCTGGCGGCTATGTGACCGCCATCGCCGCCCCGTCGCGATCTCGTCGCAGCCCGTCGTCTGGGCTTGTTTGTCAGTCTGGCGACTATGCGGCCGCCGTCGCCGCCCCGTCGCCGCCCCGTCGCCGCCCTAGATGACACAACGTAGATCGCACCGCACAGCTTACACCACAAGCATTGCACCGCGTGAATTCTTGTTTCCCAAGACATATCAGGATTTACCCCCTCCCAGCATTATCGGCCCCCCATTTCGTATTGCAACTTGCAAACGGTTCTGCCCCATCGTCCATCCTGCATCTGATTCCGTATCTTCCCAGGCAGGCCTGCATCCGCCCCCCCTCATCCCCAGCACAGATACTCTGCGCGCGCACTCGCGTAGCAACAGTGATCAGTTTTCAGAACCCCTGGTCCAAGCAATAACAAAGCAAGCCGACCAGACGAAATGCATACGCGCGCGTCGTCGCGCGCGCATGCCGACATCTTGAAACATCAGGTTTCGCACGGATTTCAAAATCGAGTGCCACGACGAACATGTTTAAACCACATGGTTTCGCAACACAGATTTCCCCCCAAAGCATGCGGTCGCGTTTTTTTGCTCCATTTTATGCACTGCTACTACACAAGCCTCCCGCGCACATGTCAAAATCGCTCGAACGCCTTTGCGCGCGTGCTGTCGCAATAATCCTTCGCAACGCATGGGACGAAGTGCGCGCGCGCGTCGTCCCGCGCGCGTGCCGAAGTCTTTCACGTAACCTAAGGTGCCGCAAGGATTTCAAAAGCGAGTGCCCCGAAAGCATATACAACACATGGCTTGCAACTGCAGTTGTCAAACCAAAAACCTGCGCGCGCGCTATTGCGAATTCTTAAGACTGCCATCGGATTTCTTATCAAATTCTGCTACGTGGGCCTCTCGTCCCGCATGTCGAACTCATCCTAACGCCCTTGCCTCTGGGGGGGGCACGATTCATGCTAATTAATTCCATGGGCCACTCGCGCGCGTCGGCCGCGCGCGCATGTCGAACGCGTTCCAAAACCTTCGTCACCGTCGCGAAGGCATCGTCATCGTTGGCGTGATCAACGTCGGCGCCGTCATTGCCTTGTCGCCGTCTTCGCCACCATCGTCAACATCATCGCTACTTTCATCATCGTGTCTACCGTCGTCGGCGTCACCATGATACCGCGCCCGCCCAAGTCACCAACTCGCACTGAAGTACCCGCTGGGGCGTTCTGGGCGGTCAGCCCCAGACCAGCTGGCCGCTCTAAGGGCAAGCCTGCGCGCTTGCGCGGCCGCAGCGAAGCGTCAGCCAACGCAGAGCACTCATCGCAATCGCCGCCTCGTGGGTTTTGAAAACCACGTTGCGGGTGGGCGGGTTGCGCGAGCTGTGGTGTTGCCAATTCATTGTGGGCATCGGTGAATTGCACCACCTGGGTTGCATCACGTAGCGTGCGCAACATAGATTGCACCGCGCAGGTTGCACCACATGGATCGCAGCATTTAGATTTCACCACATAGCTTGCACACCCAATTTTGCACCACATAGAATTGAGCAACACAGTCTGCATCACACTAGTTTGCGCTGCCTTTATTCAAACGCATAATAGACTGCGCCAACCAGGTTGCACAACCTATATTGCGCCACGGAGCGTGCACAACATACCCCCCGACGGCGGAGTTGACGGTCCCCCCTGAGGATGTGCAGTTTGCATACGGTTGCCCCCCCCATCTTTCGCTTTTGAATCTGACACCAGACGGTCCCAGCCCACCCGGTATCGCCCCCCGCCCCCCCATCTTCGGCATTCGATTGCCAAGAGCCATAGCTTTTCATGCATGTCCATTGCTCCTTTGCACCAGGCGTGACGAAGTACACTCGCGCGCGCGTTGACGCCCGCGCCTGTCGACATCCTTGACAAAGCCAGCCGTGGGTTTCGCAGGGATTTCAACACCGAGTGTCCCGAACACAGAACAATCCACACCTTCGGAACCTGATTTCTTAAAGAAAGGTGTGCGCGCGCGGTCCGTCGAACCCGTAAGTCGACCAATGGTTTTTCAACGTGTTCACCAAGTTCGACCAAATATGTGCGTCTCGCGCGCGCATTTCGAATGTATTCGCACGCACTTGTGCTCGTGGTGGGGGGGCTTGATCCCGGAGTACACGCGGGCCACTCGCGCCCGCCAGCCGCGCGCGCATGTGGAAGTTTTTCTCGCAACTCTCATCGCCGACGCGTGGACACTATCATCGTCATCGGCGCACGTGATTGCCAGGGTGTCGACGTCGCCATGATACCGCGCCCGCCCTAGTAACCGAGCCGCACTGCAGTGCCCGCCCGTCAGCGCAGCCTGCGAGACGCGCTGGGAAGCCCCCTGCGGTCAGCACCACCGCGGCCGCGTCGGTCGCGCCAGACCAGCTGGCCGCTTTAAGCGCAAGCCTGCGCGCGCAAGCGCAGCCGCAGCGAAGCGCCAGCCAGCGCCAAGCAGCCATCGTAAACACCGCCGAGTGGGTTTTGCAAGGCAGGTTGCGAGTGGGTGTGCGGGATGGTTGCTCGAGCAGTGGGTTCGACAACCCATTGGAGAATACGTCATCGCACCACATAAGATGCACCTCGTAGATTGCAGCACCTAGACTTCACAACCGAATTTTCTATATCATAAACTTACAAGCGGCAGGAAGATCTACCCCCTCCCCCGGATTTAGCGGGCCCCCATTGCGAACTGCAGTTTGCAGATGATTCTGCCCCATCGTTCAACTTAAATTTGGTTCCGTATCATCCCGGCCGAACCAGCAATCCCTTCCTTCACCCCCTGCAGTAAATATTATGCGCGTGCTCGTTTAGCACTACTCATCGGTTTCCAAGACCCCCTGGCAACAATCGGGACGAAGTGCGCACGCGTGCGTCGTCGTGCGCGCGTGCCGAAATCTTTCAACAACTTCAGGTTTCGTGAGGCTTACACATTCAAGCGTTCGGAAAACAGTTGTAAACGCACATTTGTTTTCGCAAGACGGGTTTTCACAACAAACACGTGCGCTCGCACTCTCAACATATTCATACACTACTACCACACGGGCTCTCGCGCGCGCGTGTTGGAATCGCAAACACAAGTTCGCGGTTGCGCTGTCGCAGCCCCCCCTGCAAAACAGTGGAAAAAATTGCGCACGCGCGCGTCGTCGCGCGGGCAGGAGGGAAACCGTCAAACAACTGAGTTTCCGTACGGGTTTCAAACTCGAGTGTCCTGAAAACATATGACGCACATGGTTTTGCAACGTCAGTTTTCCCCAGCAAGCCTGCGCTCGCGGTCTTGCGAATTCCGAGAACAAGAAACATAGTTTTTGTTTTCTCCAACGCGCGCGTTACATTCTGCCACACGGGCTTCTCGCGCCGCATGTCCAAATCATTCGCACGCTCTTGCGCGCGCGCTGGGAGGGGGGCGCGATCCGTGTCAAATAATACCATGCGGGCCAGTCTCGCGCGTCGGCCACGCGAGCATGTTGAATTCCGTCCCGCAAAAATCATCACCGACGCGAGGACGCCGTCATCATCGTCGGCGCCATCACTGGCTGTGCTATCGTCGTTCTCATTGTCGTCGCCAGCATCGCTAATACCATCGTCGCGTCTACCGTTGTCGACGCTGCCATGGTACCGCGCCCGCCCAAGTCGCTGATTCGCACTAGAGTGCCCAGTAGGAAGTACCCAGCGGTTACCGCGACCGCGGCCGCGTCGGTCGCGCCAGACCAGCTGGCCGCTCTAAGCGCAAGCCTGCGCGCGTTAGCGCGCCCGCAGCGAAGCGCCAACCAGCGCCGATCAGTCATCGCAATCGCCGCCGCATGGGTTTTGCAAACCAAGTTGCGGGCGGGTGGTTGGGATGATTGCGCGAGCAGTGGAGTTGACAGTTTCGAGTTCGGCAGGGAAAATTAAACCGCGTAGGTTGCACCACGTGTATTACATGCGTATGTGCATGGTCCGGCAGTTTTGCTTAGCGTGTCTTTCCAGGGGTTCTAGCCCACCGCGCTTCGGCGTGACGCGCGAAACACGCCGCAGTTCCCAGGCGTCAACGTCCCGAGCCTTTTCGAAGCCCCCCGCCCTTCGTTCGGAGGACAGCGACACGCTATCCGCTTGGCGTAGCGTGTCACCAGGGCCGCCGCCGCGACACGCTAAGCAACAGTTCCTGGCCGTAGATTTGCGTATTTATGTGAACTGTTCAACGATCGAATGAATGTCGGCCCGGTCTGTCGCCGCTCTTGGGTTGTAGGTCGGCTGCATTTGGGATGCGCGTGTGGATCTCTCAGGAGGCCTTCGGAAGCCTCTTGGGTTCCGTTTTGAAGTGTCTTGAAGGCCTGTCGTGGGTCTCTTGGGTGCTTTTCGGGCCTCGTAGGGGCCCCGTGGAGCTTGTAATGGGGCCCATCGGGGGCCTGCTGGCGGTCTCGGCGGCCATCTTGGCCCTCGGGAGCCTCTCTTGGGCCCCTCTTGGGGTCCTATTGGGCCGTCCTGGGGGTCATTTGGGCCGTTTGGGGGCAATCTTGGGCGGTTTTGGGGCGCTGTTGGATGCTTCGTGGGCTGTCTTGGGGCGATCTTTGAGGCCTCTTGGGCCGTTGTGGAGCGTCGAACGCCCGAAAAAGCGAGTGCAGTCAGTTCGTTTAGATAAGGTCCAGTTCGAGGTCGGAAAGGGACTCGTTAGTTCCTCGGGTTTGCCTGCGTTCTGTTTTTTTTTTTTTTGTGGCGGACCCCTTCGGTTCCCCGAGGTTTTCGAACGCGTGGATTGGAACACAGGGGCTTCGTTCCTCGTTTTCGCAGTCCAGCTGTACCTAAAATCTGGGACATGTACGGTGTTGGTATCTCGGGGGCCCTTTTGGGGGGCCTGTTGGAGCCCTCTTTGGGGGCGTCTTCGGGGCCTCTCGGAGTGTCAGCGGGACATCTTTGGCGACTTGGAGCGATCTTTGGGCGACCCGGGGCCATCTTGGACCGTCTTGAGGGCCTCGCGCGAACGACCCCAAGAGCGCCCAGGAGTATCCAGGATATTTGGGCATGTGGGCTGTGGGTCCCTGAAAGAATCCGCCACCGTGTCCTGAAGCAAGTGTTGGCGTCTGCTGCGTCGAGCTGCGTCTGGCCGCAGCCGCGGGGCCTGGGAGGCGTCAAGCATGCATGCACAAACCTCGTCGGCCGCATCGCCGCCGCCGCAGTCGTTGCCGCCGTCATCGTCGTCGCGGTCGTTCGCCCTTGGAGGCCAGCGTCAGGGTGACCGCTGCTGCCGCGAGGAATGCGCCCGGCTCCTGCTCAGCAAGCGCGCCGACCCATCAGCCCTGGATACCAACAGGGACAACGTCCTGCACATAGCGTGCAGGCTTGGCCGCGGCCTCTTGTGCGGCTTGTTGCAGTCGGGAAAGTGGGCGGAGCTGCTGCGTGTTTCCACCGCGGCCTGCTGGCTGTTTTCGCTTTCTCCGTCCTCCTCCTCCTCCTCCTCCTCTTCGTCCTCCTTCTCCTCTACCGTAGATATTTTGGCTCAAGATGCAAGGTTCCCAGCGAAGTCAAACGGATACTGCTATTCCTCGGCCAAACCCCGATCTGTCTCGGCCTGTTCGCCAAGGTCTGGATCTTGTCACACCAGCGTGTGGCAGGACGGTGTCGCCCCGCATCTCTGCTGGTAGTTCGCAGTGTCCCCCCCGGCCAGTGCTGATGCCAGACAAGAAGGGCAAGAGGGACAAGACGGCCAAGAAGCTACTTCTCGCCGTGCTCGTCGGGGTGTGGACAGCGACTGCCACACGTCGGAGCTCACAGCCGACTGCCTCTCCCCGCCTGCTACGCCGCGACCCGGCAGGCGCTCAGGCAAACAGCGTGGTTGAGGCGAGACCTTTGATACACCTACAGCCGGGGCCCTGAAGAAGGAACCCTTTTCGTTGGGGAGGGGCTCCGCGTTCCATTAGTGTTTCACAGCTTGCCTCAGGCTTTCCTTCTGTTTCCGATCGGAAATCGAATGTTAAGTTATGGGAGAAAGGGGCCCCGTTCCTTATTTAGGGTTCCTTAGGTCAACGCCCCGACTGTAGTCAGAGATCGCGGAGCGAGAGAGGATCGCGTACGCCCTGTGCTGACCGTCGCCGCCCCCGTCGGCGCGAGCACGGACATGATGCCAAGGCCGCCGCGAGAAGCCATGAGAGGAGGACAACTCCGCCCTCGTGACGGCGTTCCTCGAGGTGCCCGACTCCTCCGCCGCCCGCCTCACGGGGCGCTTCTGTTCGCCCTGGGCCCGACGGGGGTTGTTCAGGGGGGAAAAAGCACACAGACACAATTCATCGTCGATCACCAAGAAAATATGGGACAGTATTGGACTTGGGCGGGAAGACGAAAAACCCAGAAAATGTGAGAAAATATAGGGAACCAATTTCTTTGTGTGTATTTATTTGTGTGTCCTTGGGCCCCTTCAGTTGTGGAGGTCAGCAGCCACCGCAGCAGCTGCAGGGGGAGCCCCACAACGTCACCCTGCTGGTCCTCGGCGCGGTGCCCCTGGTGCCTCCGCAACCGAGCCAGGTGGTCAGGCAGATCCGTGGACTCAAGGCAGCGTGCATGGACTCTTCGATCACATGCGTGGTGAGCTTGAGGGCAGTGTCAAGAAAGTTGCTCGTGATGAAAGGGCGTCTACTATCGACCAAAAGGTGTTTGCAGTTGACTCCAACGCAATGCTGCCATCCTAAAGAAGTTCGAGGAGCAGATCCAAGGTCAGTTATCCCAGCATGCGCGTCGAACGCAGGCATACGCACAATTTACGCTCTTTATGAGGAGCGATTCAAAACCCTTGAGCAGGAGTTGGACTTATTTCGGAAGAGGTTGCAGGTGCCGACCGCTCGCACTGGCGAAAGGGGTCGACGAGTCGACAGGTCTGTCCTTCTGGTGCGCGCCCGCTCAGACGTCGGCTTCGAGGCCGTCGCTGCAGGTCTGGCTCCATAGCTACAGGTCGCCAATCACACTATCGGGCAGGATGCGGCCCCGGAGGGTGAACGGCTGTCGCGCTCGTCCGTGCTCAGGTTCCGAGGTGCCGCTGCCGAGCGACGGGCCGGCCCTGGTGTGGCTGCCCTCCGCACGGCTGCAGATCGCTGGCGCACGCTCTCGGCAGAGCACCCCGGCGGCCGTGGCCCTCTCGGTCCCATTTCACCAGCATTCGGAGTTTGATAGACCTCCTACCCTGACACGTCGATTAGTGAATCGGCCGTTTTCGCTTCGCGAAAGGGCGTCGCGGCCGTCATGTTTGCGGGTCCAGGTTCGTCGGTTTCGGTCCCAGGCCGTTTTCACCAAGGGGAGGTTTACTAAAGGGAGGTTTGTCCACCGCCGAAACATAGGAAAGACGTCGCGCGAGAAATCACATGCTAAAATAGCAAGAGTGCGTCCAGTCTCCGCTGCGGCCTCCCGGCTTGTGTTGACAGGTAGGAGGGCGTCATCCCTGTGCCGTGGGAGCGCACTCCCACGGTGCAAGGTCATTTGGCTGACTCGCCGATGCGCACGTGGAACTTCGATGCGGTGGCAAACCTGCAGATGCCGAGGCGTGTGATGGAGGGCTTGGCGACCGAGGCTCTTGGAGTGACATTCATTGGAGTTGATAACCTGATCTTCGGCGGCCCCGTTCCCTTTACGCTCGCGCTTTAGAACGTGCGTGCGCTAATTCACTACAAGTCCAAATGTATGGCGGCAAAAGTGCATGAGCTGCAGGAGTCAATGAGTGGATTCCCAGTCGCTTCTCATCGAGGGACTCACTATTCAGGTATGGACGATGCTGATATCTTACGGAGATGGTCTGAGTCTCAATTCTTTCTTGATCCCCCTTCCCCTGAACCACACAACGGTGGAGTCATCACTTTTGTGCCTCGGAGTCGGCTTCTCTTTGACGTATCCAAAGAAACTATGGTGTCTGGTCGTGTTCTCCTCGGTACTCCTTGCGTCATCGTCCCACGCATGCTCCCATTGGAATGTGCATAATCATGGCATCAGTCGCGAGCACATTCACATAATCCGTACGAAGCCACACTGGCAGCTATCTTTCGCACGAACTGACCCTCTGGTACTCTGTATGCTTGGTGGGTGATTTCAGTATCTCATGCGGTGACATCTAAGGGCTCACCTCTGGTTCTCCTGCACCTGCTTCGTCGAGGCGCCTGGAGCAGGGCCCATCGCAGGCGCGCCGTCGGCATGAGACCCGGTGGAGAGCAGTCTGGAAGCGAACGGTGAGTATGACGGCGCTTGGCCTACTTGCTGGCGTCGGTCGCATCAGATGCGTTGGAGGATTGATCGGATCTTTGTATCTACACCGGCATGTATTGCGGTTGGCCTATGGCAGTCATGTTGCATCGCTGCCGAACCTGAGGAACTGGATCTACGTGGCTTGAAGCGTTTGCAAGCTGTTCAGGGAGCTGTCTCTTTTACGTCTGAGAGGGAACCAGTTTGGACCCTGCGAGCCGCAGCGGACTCGCAGGCGCGTCGTTGCTTTTCTGTCTGTGCGCCTTTGTCGGCTCCGAGATCTGGGGCACACTCCCATTGTCAAGAAGTTTTCTGTGCGCTGTGATGTCTGCTGCCTCGCCTTCAATCGCCGAGGTAAGCTAGCTGACTTTTTGGCCGACTCCATGCAAACCAACTTGGGTTGTCCAGCACAGAGGAGCTCGGTCTTGCCTCTCAGGCCCAGGTGGTCGGGGACCTTGAGCCTCCCCTAGATGCCTTGATGATTTGGGCCCGGCTGTGTGATGTGCCGTGGCGCGCCTGACCACCCGCTGGCTGAACAATGTCATTCTTTCCACCGGTTCTCGGACTTGCGCGGGGTCCTGTTTTGCCAGGCGTGTGACCCCCCCGGCATTCTGAAAGGAATCAGCGGAGCCCCGTCTCGAGGTCCATGTCCTTCGAAGGCGGGAAGGAGTTTCTTCCTTTCACTCTCTCTCTCTCTCTCGGTTCCTGAGGGGCATGCCCCCGAAGTCGGGCAGTTAATTTCCCGACTTGGTCTGAGTTGTTGAGAAGCGGATTGTCTAGAGCAGGAATCCCCGCATCTGATAGAACTCGAATCAAGATCCTCATCCTCTTCCTCCTCCCCCTCCTCCTCTCCTTTTTTCCCCCCTTCCACGCTGGACCGACACTGGCCGAATGGCCTCTGCATCTTGCTCCTCCCTGCCCCCGCCCGGCTCCTCTCTCTTCCCCGTCCGTCCCAGCGGGGGTCATGATCTCTCCCCAGATTTCATGGCGCCTCTTCTTATTTCATTACGTGCCCGGCCCCCCCGCTGGGCCGCGCACATGCCGCCGCCGGTCATGATTTGCACCCCCCCCCCTCTTGGACACCCCCCTCTTGGCCGCTCCCGAGTTCTGTCGAGTGGCATGTTGGACAGAGTCGGAGGGCGGGAGGACCGAGGAGCGGCGCCACCGCCGCCAGCAGAGGGGCCACCTCCGGCGGACAGGTCCAGGATGCCTCCCCCAGGCTGGAGATGCGGTCGGGATTTTTTGGCTTCGCGTGTCGCGCCCCCCGGTTCTGGCCCACCACGCTTCGGCGCTGCACGCTGCCGTCGGGCCGCTGAAGGTGGAACCCTTTCCGTTGGGGAGGGGCTCGGTGTCCCTGAATTGTTCAGCTCGTAAGGTATAGCGTGCCGACGGGGCCGCCGCCGCGACATGCTGAGCACAGCTTCCCGACCGGAAATCGCTCTAGAACGTGCGGGGGCGATGTCAGCGCGGTCTCGTGAGATCCAGCGATTTGATGTGTGTTCCCAACCATCTTGTAGTGTTGGGTCCTCGTTTTGAAGAGATAGCGCCCCGCGTCTCCTTCCTTCCTCTTTCCCTCCTCCTTATCCCGGTCTTCCTCCCCCTTCTCCCCTCCTCCCCCACTTCAGCACACCCCTAACACGTTTCGTGGGCCCATGGGGAGCTCCACCGAAGGCCCGAGTGGCTACGTTCGCATGCGCCCACCGCACCCATTTCGGCACACTCCTCACACGCTTCGTGGCCCCATAGGCAGCTCCTCCGAAGTCTCTAGTGGCTGCGTTCGCATGCGCCCACCGCACTCATTTTGGCACACTCCTTACACGCTTCGTGGCCCCATATGGAGCTCCACCGAAGGCCCGAGTGGTTGCGTTCGCATGCGCCCACCGCGCTCCTTTCGGCACACCCCTCACACGTTTCGTGGCCCCAAAGGCCGCTCCACCAGAGGCCCGACTGTCTGCGTTTGCATGCGCCCAGCGCGCCCATGTCGGCGCACCCTTCGCGCGCTTCGTGGCCCTATAGGGAGCTCCACCGAAGGCCCCAGTGCCTGCGTTCGCATGCGCCCACCGCACATATCTCCGCACACCCCTCACACGTTTCGTGGCCCCATCGGCAGCTCCTCCGAAG